GTATATATACACCACATCTCCTTTATCCATTCATCTGTCGATGGACATCTGGGCTCTTTCCACAGTTTGGCTATTGTGGACATTGCTGCTATAAACATATTCTTAACAAGCATGCCAGCTAATCATGATACAGGTCAGTATGTGACATAGTGGAGCAATAAGAGACAGCAATGAACAAATAAACAATAGCAAAATACAAAATAAAACTGCTAGAAATCACATCATTTCCTTGGGGCTATGTTTTTTCTTAGGGTTGAGTCCCTTAATGACCAAGATCCTCTTTTTCATTTGTGAATGGGGATGATCAGAACTGTCATTGTCTTTTATTGATTTTAAGGATTGATGAGATGTCATTTGCAAAGAGATTTGTTGGGTAAGTTACTCCATCAACTTTGCATAAAGGTTTTTTTTTTTTTTAAGATTTATTTATTTGAGAGAGAGAGAGAGAGAATGAGCAGGGGGAGGAGTGGAGGGAGAGGGAGAGAATCTCAAGTAGACTCCCTGCTAAGCGCAGAGCCCTATGCAGGGCTTGCTCTCGTGACCCTGAGATCATGACTTCAGCCGACATGAAGAGTCAGATGCTTAATCAACTGGGCCACCCAGGCGCCCCTAAAGGTTTTTTTCTTTTTTAAGTTATCAGTTTACAACTAATCTTAACTAATTATTCCAAGTTTACCCATAATATTAGCAATTATATATTTTATGACAAGAGTCACAAATATCCTGATGATATCACAGCAGTTTGTGTAATTATTTTTTATTTTATGCAACTTTTTCAATTGGCATAATTTAATATCTTCAAAACTTTGAATATTCTAGTCTAGAGTCTGTTGATTTTTACCTTTTTGTAGGAATGAATGATTTGAATAGCATAAGTTTCACACAAATTGATTGTAAGTTCCTATCTTATTTTATTGACTATCTAGTTAATAAACAGCTAACAATTTTGGGTACCCTTTTGCTGTAATGCAGAGTTTCTCAACCTTGTCAGTATTAACATTTTGGGACAGATATTTCTGTCACAAGAAACTGTCCTGTGAATTGTAGGATGTTTAGCATCATCACTGGCCTCTACCCACTACATGCTAGTAATGTATAGTGTGACACACCAAAAATATGACACAACCAAAACTGTCTCCAGACATTGCCAGATGTCTCTTGGGGGACAAAATTGTCCCTGGCTCAGAACCAGTGCCATAATGCACAGTAAATTATTCTCTGGTTAAGGGAGGATGAAAAAACAAAAAAATGAAAATAAAACCTGGCTGGAAAAGTGTTTCTGGTTTTGTGAGGCCCAAGGAGTACAGAAAAAATCTGTAATAATACTTTTGCACAAATAGAAGAACACATGATTAGTAGTGCCACAATGATAGAATACCTTGACCTTAGGTAAGTGACTTACTGTTTCCTCATCTATAAATATGGATAACAATAATGCCCATCTCACAGGGTTAATGGAAAGATCAGTTCATTTTATGTAAAGTACTTAAAAGAGTAACTGCAATGTAATAAAGCACTTAATGCTTTATACTGATAGAGAGATATCTAATCTATCAGTCTTATACTATTACCATTATTTTCTTGCTTGAGTAGGATAATGTAACAGTAGTTCTAAATAATTTAATCAAACTGAAGACTTTAGGTAATAGTCACCATAGAGAGTGCTATAAACCTTTGACAGAGTAGGTAGAAAGTGAATTTTACGTGGTAATTTTACTGGTGTGTGCCTGTGCATATGTTGTATAATTTAGATTTTGCTTCTTCCAAAAAGCATGAGATTGTTCACAATACATACACATAATATAAACAATGCTATTAAAATAGAGATAAGAGTGAACATTCCAGACATGTAGAAATAGAAATAAAAATTATCTCTTTCTAGTGTTTTAGCGTGGCCAACCATTAGTAATCTAGAAGTTTTAAAAGCAAACCCAGTTTTCACACTTTAGCACTCATATGAAAGCTGATGGTGACAAACCTCAGATCCTCATTGTCAAGAGGAGAGGGAATTATTGTGTTTTGTCTGTGGGAATCATTCTTTCCCAATTGGATCAGATCCTGAGAGACTAAATATTCCTGGACTCAATGTCTCTAAAGAAGTTCTCTGGCATTTTGATGATTATGCCTATAAGAAAAATAAAGGAACAGGCTTTGTCCCAAATGAAGATATCTAAACACACACACACACACACCCCTAATGAAGATATCTAAACACACACACACCTATAAACAAATATTAGTTGTCTTTCAATGAAACCTGGATCCCAAACTCACAAAATGATTCAAAGAAATTTTGACCCAGAAATTTCTGCTGGGATAGAATCTCCCTCCCTCCTTCCTTCTCTCTCAATCTCTCTCTCTCACACCCCCCCCCCATAAATGATTATTAGTTGTCTTTCAATGAAACCTGGATCCCAAACTCACAAAATGATACAAAAAAATTTTGACCTAGAGATTTCTGCTGGAGTAGAATCTCCCTCCCTTCTTCCTTCTCTCTCAATCTCTCTCTCTTTCACACACACACACACACACACACACACACACGCTATTAATAGTGGTTAGGAGAAAGGGAATCGGAGAACTTGAGAGGGTTGTGGAGACTGCTCCACACACTGCACAGCACAGGCCTGGCCTCCGAAGCCTTCAGCCCCACTATCCAGGGCCTCCGGTGACTGGTGGTCAGCGCGCGGCTGGACAGCAGGGAAATTCCAGACCACTCCCTGAGGACCCAGGGGCCCCTAGGGACAGGGGGTCGGAACCCGGTACAGAGCGGACGGAAGCAGAGACGGCGCGAGCTGGGGGTGGCGACAGCAGCGCTCGGGATCCGTTGCCTTCGGGTCCCCTGGGCTGCAGGACGCGGTGACTCTGAGCAGGAGCGCGAGCGCTTCCCCGCCCCTCCTGCAACCACGCGCAGCGCGCCGGGATCCGCGGGGTCCGCCCGCCCCCTCCTCCCACGCGGGCCTTGCGGGGCCGCTCTCCCCTGCAGACCCGACCAAGGCGCGGGCCTCGGCGCGCGGGACCGAGATCCGACAGGCGCTTGAGCCGCCCCAGCTGCGCCGCGCTCCCGGCCACAAGTTTGCCCCGCACCCGCCAAGTTGCGAGTTGGGAGCCTCTCCGGGCTCCGGGAGAGCGTCCCTGCTTCTCGCTCGGGCTGGTCTGGGCATGGCCGGCCCGGGAGCATCGCCCTACGTCTGGGGGTGGCTGCTGCTCGGCGGTTGCCTTCTCGCCGGAGCCCAGGTAAGAGCAGGTGCCCCGCGACACCTGCTTCCCGGAGCCTCCGGACTCGGCGTTAGGGAGACGCAGACCGAGGCGCACGGGCTCACGCTAACACATCCACACACACACACACACACACACACACACACACACCTCTCAGGGTTTGACAGGCATTTAGTGGAGCTGCAAAGATATATTTTAGGTTGAGTGTCCTGGGGTGGGTACCATTCAGACCAGCGTTTTGGCATCTGCAAAGTAAGGGGATATTTAATTTACAACCGGTTCTGGATCAGGAGGGCGAGACTGGGAGGTGAACGAACTTTTCTTGCCCTTAGACTCCTTGGTTCCCGCTTAATTAATCCAAATTATTTTTGTTGGCTGGCAATTTACTGTCACTTTTGAGAACTTAAACTTCTAGGATCGATAGTAACTACTGACTGAAAGGATAACTGGCTCTCCCTGATAGAGAGTCACATATCATTAAAGCGAAGAGACTTGATAGGACAAAAATACAGTGTTAAGTAAAGCTCAGTTTGTTAATGTTAAGAGTGTTAGTTGTCATGTCATGCTGCTAATACTTAGAGATTTTCTGGGTGATCTTTTAGAATAGGACCCTTCTAATGTGCAAGTCACAATTCAACCTCACATTTTTTTGAGCCAAATAAAATATGGGGTTTACACTCAGCTTTTCCGATGAGCTGTATGGAAATGCGTGTAGTAATGGGTGTAATGCAGTGTAAGAGCCCTGTGAATTTAAACTGTATCAACGTTATTTCTCTTCTGTTCAGCAGGGGGCGCCCCTTGACCGTCAAATGGAGCCCCAAGTTTTTTTCGTTTTAAATTCTTTAACCATGAGAAAATTAAGGCATCGATTTATGTACGAATAGTATCTAAACTTAATACTATATTCTTGGCTCTCAGATGATGAATTTAAATGTCAATTATCCTAAAAGCGCAATTTAAAAAAATTATTATTATTATTATTATTATTTACCACATGGCCACATATGTTAACGGAAAAAGTGCCTTGCCCGGCTCAATACTGGGCTTTACCTAGCATGACTGGGATGTTTAACGCAAACTTGTTATGTTAAAAAATCAAACAGTATGTGTATTATACATTGACTAATAATAGCAATGGATACTTGAAAGTAGGGTATGCTCAAACCTGAAAAATTTCACCAAGGTAACAGAAGGAATATGAGCAAATGGAAAAAAAAAAAAGAAATCCTAAGGATTTGGTGACAGTTATGGAACTCTGGTGATCTCTAATGTACGTCCTGCATTTCTGTCTCATTAAGGTATTTGAATAATATGCTTAAAAACATTGCTTCCTTGTATAAGGGGCAAATGAATTGTAATCGTTTATTTTATTACGTGTTCCAGATTACTTTTTTTAAGGGAATGGGGAGATATTGATTAGCACAACAACAAAATATCACTATGAGATTGTGGGTAGAATATTTCTTTTACTTTTAGTTTTCAATAAAACACTCAGGACAGGGGCGCCTGGGTGGCTCAGTTGGTTAAGCGGCTGCCTTCGGCTCAGGTCATGATCCTGGAGTCCCTGGATCGAGTCCCGCATCGGGCTCCCTGCTTGGCAGGGAGCCTGCTTCTCCCTCTGACCCTCCCCCCTCTCATGTGCTCTCTCTCTCTCTCATTCTGTCTCAAATAAATAAATAAAATCTTTAAAAAAAAAAAAAAACACTCAGGACATTGGACACTTTTCTATAATTTTAAACCAAGTTTTCTCAACCTTGGCACTCTTGACATTTTGGGCCATATAGTTCTTTGTTGTGGGGACTGTCTTGGACCTTGTAAGATATTTAGCAGCATTCCTATCCTCTCCACTAGATGCCAGTAGCATGTCCCGTCGTCCCATCCCCTCTTCCCCCGCCCCTGCTCAGTTGTGACAACCAAAAAATGTCTCTAGATGTTGCCAAATGTCTCTTGGGAGGCAAAATCAGCCCTGGTTGAGATACATTGCTTTAAATTGACTTCCATTTATGTTTATAAATTAAGAATGTATGAAATGATAGTTTGTGGTAACACATTACATTTTTGGCCCTTTAAGCAAAATCTGAAGGTTAAAATAAAATGATTTACATTGACATGTTGACACCTTCTCTGATCTTCAGTCTGTTCATCTTCATTCCCAGCTAATATGTATATTAAATTTAGAAAATATATTGATAGAACAACAAATGGAATGTATCAAAGCAGAACAGCTTGTGTAGAACAAATGTTTCATATTTAATAAACATTGGATCACATCACAAAATAGATAATATAGACTAGTACCCATCAATTGTTTTCAAAGATCCCTGTCGTTTTTGGTTGATGAAGGTGTGCAGTTCAAAACTCATGTGTTCACGTATCAAGTGTCATTACATTGCCCAGTAATACATTTCTTAAAGTCAGATTATCCCATGGGAATGGGGAGCACTGTATAAATATGTGTAGTATTTTGTTTGCTGTGTCAGTGGGTCCTTCTGGACACAGACTCTGAGATGGAATCAGCTGTACCGTAGGTTTACTGGGGAGGAATACCTGTGAAAGAGAAAAGAGTGAGAAAGTAGATTTGGACAGGGAGAACCTCAGACCAGGATGCAAATCTGGCAAAGTCTTGGCCAACCTCATGGAGAGCTCGAAGTAAAGGTTGCCCATCAGAGGAGTCCCATGTGGCGATAAATGGCCAGGTCCTGGTACTCCGACTGTGGTTTGCTCATTAGTTCAGCACTGTTTATATCATGTGCACTTGGCTCCAAAGCTGAGACAGATGGTTGAAAGTACTGCAGCTGGAGCCTGTCAGGCAACCACACTCCTTACAGACAAATAGTTGGTTCTTTCTGGAAGGACTGTGCCAGTGGTGTGTCTCTGTGTCTGCCTTCCTTACAAGATTATCAAGGGACAACGCTGGTTTTGCTGGGCTCGAGAATGGGCTGACCCCATGTGATTCAGTCACCTTCTGCAGGCTCCGTGGCTGCAGATCAGTGTGACTCTCACAGTGTACGTGCCTGCAAGTGGGTACAAACCCATCACCCTGACTAGAGAAAATTCCCAGAAGACCATGACATATTGAGGGGAAGTATGTAAGTTCCATACAGTACTAGGTGTGAACAGATACGCATGGGCAGGTTTTGTTTTTCAGTCATCATTCATTTTTTTGCCCGAGTGGAATATCAACACTGTCATGGACATTCTGATGTGGGGAAAGGAGCAGTAACCTGGGAACCCAAAAGCCACATTCAGTTTCCTCCTCTGGAAACATGCAACCTCCTTGGGCATGAAACTTGATGTCTCTACTCTTACTCTGTTCAGTGAGAAGGCTTAGCTCTACTGACCTTCCAGTGTGCAGATTCAGAGACCATTGGGGAATCAGAAATCTCATACTTGGGGGGAGGGGGTGATAATCAGTGATAATATTTATTTACCTACCAAGTACCAAATACTGTGCTAAGCACTTTAATCTATTATTATCTCATTTAATTCTCATAGTAACTTTATGAGATAGGCACCATAATTTTTCATTTCATAAGTGAGAAAATGGGGCTAAGATGTGTTAGGTAATATTCTCAGGTCACACAGCTAACAAGTAGAATAGTCATGATTCACAACCTGGCTTCCACCCTGGAACCCACCCCTCAGATTGGTGTCCTCACTGTGGATATCATTTAGGCAAGGCTTAGCTAAATTATGTCTATATAGCCCTCTGTCCCAACAATATCCACCCCTGTGTATATATCCCGAGGAATTTCTTAGACAAGTTCATAATGGTTATTGCAATAATTCTGTGGTGTTGGGGTCAACTTGGGTGTTCATAATGGGGTACACTAGGCAAAATAAAAAGCAGTAGATTCAGGGGCACCTGGGTGGCTCAGTCGTTGGGCGTCTGCCTTCGGCTCAGGTCATGATCCCAGTGTACTGGGATCGAGCCCCGCATCGGGCTCCCTGCTCAGCGGGGAGTCTGCTTCTCCCTCCCCCACTCCCCCTGCTTGTGTCCCCTCTCTTGCTTTCTCTCTCAATGTCAAATAAATAAAATCTTTAAAAAAAAAAAAAAGCAGTAGATTCAATGTACACAAAACAGCATGTATGAGAGCTTTCAAACAGGATAAGCTATAGCATATAAACAATGAGATATATTACATAGTACTGTTTACATACATTTCAATACATGTACATAAAGCAGCAAAACATACTGTCTAAGCATCCAGATAAGAGATATATGTGTATATAAATTTCACATAAGTGGTTGCATATGGGGAGGTAGAGAAGTAGAAGTGGGGTCTAGAGAGAAAAGGGGAGATAGGTAGATAGATAAATAAATAAATAAGCCTACAGCCATATCTCAATCTCTGTGTCAGTTGGAGATTGTGGTGATAGCAGGTGGAACTAGCAACAAGCCATCATTGGTAGATTTAAGAATGAGGACATAATTAGGATGTAGGCAGCTTCTCCAAGATGGTAAGCTAAGGGACTATTCTTAGCGAAATCAAACTGAAACTTGACTGCTGATTATGTCTGCATCATGCCTATTTCCATAAGCACTACTGTAGTTAAAGAGCCAGTGGTTGGTTTGTTCTCCTTTCCTACTGACAGCCAGGACAGTTTTCATTTGTCTTCCAGGCATGGGGAAGCCTTGTGTCCTGGAGGCGGTGGACTTCTCTGTGGCTGCACTAATTTCAGGTAGAATCCTCAGCCTCGGCAGCCTAGAAGCTGCAAGATAGAAGGGAGCTAGGTGTGGCCTTTTCCTGTTGCACAGAGAGGTTTCACTTCCTTGGAACTTCCTCAATTCTTCATGAATAAAAATAGAACATTTTCAACTAAAATTCACACATTCCATTTGTTTTCCTGTCTTTTTTTTTTTTTAATCTTTTATTTATTTGACAGACGGAGAGAGACAGTGAGAGAGGGAACATAAACAGGCAGAGTGGGAGAGGGAGAAGCAGGCTTCCCGCCAAGCAGGGAGCCTGATGTGGGGCTTGATCCCAGGACCCTGGGATCATGACCTGAGCTGAAGG